CGAATCCATTACATTCCCTTCTGTGCTGATGCCCTTGGGAAAGGTATGAATCCTCTTCTTTACCCTCCGGGTTCTATAGCCTTGGATGGTAATTGGTCTACTGGTACATACAAAACTGCATCCCCCTTTTTTTTTTTTAATTTAATTTAATTTTTATTCAGATATTCATGAGCAGAAGATCTTAAATTATATTAAAAAATAGAGAAAAAAAAAATTCTGATCGCACCGAAAAGTACAAAACTATCAGTTATGTGCCACGCGTGATACACGCGACGCAGATTTTTTCCCCCGCAGTAGGTTGCCATTTCTTTCTGCCGTAGACCAGTTGCCAGCCAAGGCTATAAAACACGGGGGGGGGTGAGAAGAAGAAGAGGATTCATACCTTTTCCAAGGTTAAAGTGAATGTAATAGATTAAACTTGAATTCGAACTAGGCTCTACTAATTCATCAATCCAAGCCGCTTACTCCACCGTGCCTCCTAAAGAGCTCTTGTGTATCGTCATTCACTTATCTGCCATGCGTGATCCACGCTTAGGCGATCGATACATGACTGACGAGGCAGATTTTTTCCCCTTGTAGGTTGCCATTTCTTTCTGCGATAGACCAGTCGCCATCCAAGGGTATTGAACACGGTCTGCCCTGCTATTTAACCTTACTTGGGGGAGAAGAAGAGGATTCATACCTTTCCCAAGGGTATTAGCACGTAAGTGAATGTAATGGATTCGACTGGAATTCGAACTCGGCTCTCTGATTCCTCAATACGAGCCGCTATCCATTACTCCACCGTGCTTCCTTAAATTACAAACTGAGGATACTAAAATCAAACAACTACAAAGATTTAAATATTTGGGAATTGTTGCGACGGTCAAAGATAGTTTCGAAAAGCTAAGCCGAGTATTAAGAGACAGAAAATTTTCGTTAGAAAGAACGAAAAGAGTATCGAAATGTTACATGATATGTGTCCTCCTGTATGGGAGTAAATACTGGACAGTCTCCTCAAAGATGAAGAAGAGACTTGACGCAACAGAAATGTGGTTCTACAGAAGGATACTGAGGATACCATGAACTGAACATGTGCGCAACGACGAGGTTTTATAGAAAAAGTAAACAACAAAAAATACTTATACTTAACATCAGGAAGAGGCAGCTGAAATTTCTGAGGTACGTAATGAGGAAAGATGGCTTGGAAAATTTGATACTCACAGGAAAGATTCAGGGAAGGAGTGACACAGGAAAGCAGCACGTAGCATACTTGAGATTGAGTAAATGGATAATAGAACAGGGTTTGAGAAGAAATAACGAAAATAGAAAACTTATTAAGAGCTACAAGAGACAAGAAGATGTGGGGGGCCATGATCACCTACGTTCTGAAGATTATTTGTTTTCAAAAACATCAGAACCAAGAATGGTATTTCAGAAAAGAATAAATTAATAGTTGGTGGGCAAAAGATTTCAGTGTTTTTATTTATAAAATAAATAAATAAATATTGAATCTCTAAAAAAAAAATATTTATTTTCAGGAGTTCTGGCAAGAAAAGAAGAAAGTTGCTTTTGAGCGCTGGTTTTCAAAGTCTGTGAAACATCAGATGCAAAGGCAGAAGAACCCTTCGACGTGTCGCAGGAATCATAAACAAGATTCATTGAAGTCTTTTGTTCTCAAGAACGAACAAAGATGGAAGAACCAATGTCTGTACGAGCAGAAGACGATCGTCTGCCGAATCAAGTTTTCTGCTTGAAAGACGTTCAAAAAGCCAACAAGAAAAAGAGTAAAATCGGTTATAAAAAAATGGAGGAGAAAAATAACAAACACTCCAAGGACAGGGTAGTCTTGATGAACCATTATCCGTGTAGGAATGGCAAGTTTCAAAGCGGAGGAGGGATAGGAAGAATTAGAAAAATATGAAGAGAGAGAGATAGAGATATATATATATATATAGAGAGAGAGAGAGAGAGAGAGAGAAAGAAAGAGAGAAAGAAAGAGAGAGCGAGAGCGAGAGCGAGAGAGAGAGCGGGATGGGGGAAGGAGATAGCCACAAACAAATTCAGAGTTACCATCTGGATTTAGCGGTCCTGGATAGAGAAATATTAAAAGAAGGATTGAATTTAGAATCAAAATGAAGAATATTAAACTGGAACCACAACAACGACGGCGAAAGTTTTATATTTAAAAATAGTATCAGGTTTCTATGTGTTTACTATTAGATAGATAGATAGATAGATAGATAGATAGATAGATAGATAGATAGATATGAACAAAGTGAGATAGATAGATAGATAGATAGATAGATAGATAGATAGATAGATAAGTATGAACAGAGTGAGATAGATAGATATGAATAGAGTGAGATAGATAGATAGATAAATAGATATGAACAGAGTGAGATAGATAGATAGATAGATATGAACAGACTAAGATAGGTATAGATAGATAGATATGAACAGACTAAGATAGGTATAGATAGATAGATAGATAGATAGATAATGAACAGAGTGTGATAGATATGAACAGTACTCGATTGGTACATTGACAGATAAAGAAAAGTATATGTAGAGGTATAAGAAACAGAACAGATAGATAGATATGAACTGACATAGATATATAGATTGATAAAGAGATAGAGAAATAGATACGAACAGAATTAGATAGATAGATAGATAGATAGATAGATAGATAGATAGATAGATGTGAACAACCTTCGATAGATAAAAAAGAGAATAAATAGATAGATCGACAGGCATATAGATCGATAAATAGATAGATAAATACATATGAACAAAATTAGATAGATATGAACAACCTTCGATAGATAAAGAACACAATAGATAGATAAAGAGATAGAAAAATAGATAGATATGAACAGAATGCGATAGATAGATAGATAAGATAGATAGATAGATATGAACAGCTTGATATAGATATATATCTCCAATATCTTCATTCCTGAAAGAATGACTCCTTTACCAAGCCAATATACATGACTACAAAAATATTTTTAAAAAATCAAAAGAAATCGGTTCAACCGATGACATCATATTATTCAAAAGATTTCACAGACATCTAAATTCCAGACTAAAACAATTTAAATTCTAATTTGAATAAAAAACAAAATTTTTAAAAATATCACTTACCCTCTTGCACTTATCAGATATTGAATTGTGTCACTTCTTGTTCTCCATATCTTTCCTGACTTTTCAGTTAATTTGATTACAAAATAAAATTCTTGCATTTGCCTTGATAAAGTCAGTGGATGAAACACAAGACAGTTTCTAGTGAGAAAAATGATCTCGTGCGACATTGAAAAAAATTTCCTAGCAATAGATTTAGCAATTGGTTCAATATAATCTTTCAACTTCATGTCAGCGAAAAAAATAAATCCAGATTAGGTAATTCAGTTTTCTTTTTTTTTGTTTTTAGAATTTATATAGGAATATTTATTTTTGTCTTCCGTAGGGGGATTTGGTTTGGTTTGGTTTATTTTGTTTTACGGCATATCAATCTCAATAGTTTATTTAATTCCGAAAAGATTTTATTGTTGGTAATATTTTTTTTTCCAAAATATATTCCTGGTAATAATTTTAACTTGAGGAAACCTGACCACTTATACTATCCTCTATCTTTAAGAGAGCCAGATCAGGCCGAAAATGGAGTACTATTGCCACATCTGGGGAGGCGATATCCAGACCTCACTTTCCAGTTTTGGTAGAGTTCAAAGGCCTCTCCGAGTCCTTATCGGAGAAGAATCATTTTCCACGCTCCAACCTCTCTCTCACAGGTGGGATATGGCGAACCTCTCACCTGCTATATCGCTACTTCCATAAAAAGTACACGGACGACATGTCTCTCAGCCAAATGTCTCTCAGCCAAATGTCTCTCTGCCAAATGTCCGTTCGGACAAATGTGCGTCGGCCAAGTGTCCGTTCGGCCACATGCCTCTTGGCCAAATGTCCGTTCGGCTAAATGTGTCTCGGCCAAATGTCCGTTCGGCCAAATGTCCGTTCGGCCAAATGTCCGTCCGGCCAAATGTCTTTCGGCCAAATGTGCGTCGGCCAAATATCCGTCGGCCAAATGTCCGTTCGTCCAAATGTCTAGCTACCTCCTGAGCATTTCCTTCTGTATGCCACGGTGTTTGGAAATTGATTTTCAAGGCTTCTATACTGAATTTCTCGAAGGTTGGTGTTCTACACACAATACTACTATCGCTAAAGATGCAATCGAAATCATCGGCTCCTCGTACCACTCCAATACGTTTCTGATTTCTCATGCTACCCTCTACATTTATAGGAGCCAGATCCAACCGAAAATTGAGTACTGTTGCCACATTTGGTCGGGGGGGGGGGATACCCAGACCCTCATTCTTTAGTCTTGATAAAGCTCAGAAGTGTCTCCGAGTCCTTTTTGGAAAATAATTATTTTCCACACTTCAACCACTCTCTCTCTCTCTCTCTCTCACACACACACACAGGCGAGATGTGGCGAGTCTCTCACTGCTCTGTCGCCGCTACCATTGAAAGTGATCGGACAAACTTCATTTGTTGGTTTCCGCCAGGACCAACCTTCAAGGCAAGGACCCGCCATGCGACTCACATAGTAGCAAACTACTTAAATTCCCCCCTATTCCATCGACGTTAAGTTCCACACGAAAAGCTTCTTCCCGCGAACCAATGCTCTGTAGAACCGACTCCCAAGAGGATGTTTCCGTGATCACTACAGTCTTAACCTGTTCAAGTCTAGAGTCAGCTATTATCTATTCATATAAACTACCCCTTAACATAACACTCTACCTCGAGTGTCACCTGGGACTTTTACTATAAAAAGAAAAAAAAGAAATGAAACGAAGATAGTTGTGGAGAGAATTATGAAGTCGACATTATTGCTGGTCGCTTTTCTTTTACATCTGGACTTTGTCGGAAACATTTTTCCGCTCCAGCACCAAATTACAATACAGACTATAAATTCCAAGAATAGAGACCGCTTTACACTAGCCCCTTATCTAAATACT